CATTTAATTCTCTCACTGTGTATTCATCCACAAAACTTAATTTTTATATCTGTCTCAAAAGAAATTATTTGCGGGAAGATATTATTAGTAAAATAAATCAATGTATAAAATATTTTATAATTATTTGTCAATTAAAATTAAAATAAAATAAAATATTAAATAACTTTTAATTTTAAAAAAAAATATAGAGTTAATATATATATATTAAGATTTTTTAATTTAATAATTAAATTGTTAAAATTTAATATAAAATATAAATTATTGATATATTGAATTAAGTTTAAATAGACTTATCTTTCAATTAAGTAAAAAAAATTTCTCTCTCACACACGTGCATATATATATATATGTGTGTATACGTGTGTGAGAGGGATAAGTTTTTAGGAAACATATTTGATGAAAATGTATTTTATTATAACAGATGAGAGAATTAAATAATAATTTTTAGATTATAAATAAAAATAATTATTAATTAAAATTAAAATTTAATTATACACATCTATCTATTTATATGATTATTATTAATATGTTCATAACTATCGTCTTACAATTATTATTAATGTCAATATTATTATTATTACTTTTGTTATTATGAGTGTAATTATTGTGTTATTATTGTACCATTTAACATATTATTATTATTATTATTATTGATATCACTACTATTATTATTTAACAATAATAACGATGATAATAATATAAAATTAATAGTAGAAATTTATGAAATAATAAAGTTGAGCTTAACCAATGTTAACAAAATGGAATTTGTCTAAACATAAAAAGGATATAGATACCGAAGAACATCATACATCCTTGAAAACATGTGATTTTTCAAACCCCTCCCAAAAAAAAGTCTTTTCATTTTTTTGTTATTTCTTTTCATATTTTTTGGGTAGTTGTAGAGCTCTAATTAGAAAAAGAAAACAAAGTGACGATGGTCCTCTGAAGGTGGGAGAAAGAATATCAAAAGATCTCATATGAAAAGTGGTTCAATGTTTTTAAGAAGCTTTATTTGTATGCGTTTTTGGACCGCCTTTTGTTCTTTTTCTTTGATGAATTAAAGATTCAATTTTTATTTTTTTATTCCCTATGATAGAAAAAAATGAAAAATAAATAGATAATATATTTCACTCTAATATTTTAAAATTTCATTAATTAACAGAAAATAGAGTTAAACTTTAAAATAAGTTTCTCAATTATCCTAAAATTAAAATAATAAAAATTAATTCAAGGAATTATCAATTAACCCTCTCAAAATCAGTATAATCTAATTTGCAACCTTTTTTTTACCAGAGAGTATAACTTAATTGGTTAAATATGATGCATAAATTATTTTAATTTTTTTATATTAAGTTTTATTTGAATGGATGAAAAATATTTTTAAAAAAATTGTAAGAAACGTGCTCATTGTATTTGTATTGTTTATATGCACGTGAGTGTCCCGTGTGAATGGGACTGAAAGGGGTTTTTCATTTACTTGAGTTGGTGAAGGCAGACAATTTCTGACGCTCACCGTGTTTACTGGAGATTCCAATTTGGCCTTGTAGTCCTGTATTTTCTGGAATATGGGAAATAAGAAATCATCGAATGGAACAATATCAATTAACAAACCCCTAACCTGTTCATATTAATCCTTGCTTCTTTTTATTTTCTTTTCATTACGATGTTCTATTGGCACGTGCGGACAGGAGCAAAACAAAGGTAAACTTCTTTTTATTTTTATATGTAATTGATTTATGTTTATGTAATGTTTTAGTAAATTATAACTCCAGGGACAGCACTGCTGGCTTTCTTCCATAAAATCTGATCAACGTTTTTTTTTTTTAAAATAAATTAATATTCCTTTAATCCTTTAGTTAAAAATATCAAACCATCATTATTTCATACCATTTTCTCATCTTATGTTTGACGTCATTCAACTAACACTTAACATAATTCCAATTCAAGACGACTCTCTCCTCACGTCCGACACTACTAATTATGCACCCAGCATGAGTGAGATTGAGGTCTCTCTTTTGAACCATGTTTGGCACCTTGAAGGCACGCTAAACACAATATCAGTTTCTATACTTATACTTATGCAGGAACTAATTTCAATCCTAAGCACCTAAAAATTTGCAATCCAATAACATGCAATGCAACATACAACAATTATACATCATATACAACTCGGTTTCATCGTTAAAAATCTCATGCAACAAACATTTAAACAAGAATCAACTCAATTTTTCATATATTTTCTTCAAGTCATGAAAACCCTCTCAACTTCATCTTCTAAATCATTCAACACCTTCAACCTACTTAATCCAATCATCAACAACACAAAATGCACTCCTAAATTTGAAATCACAACTTCCTTTACCTCTTGGAGACTCAAATCCACAAGAGGAGAAGAGAAGGAACTTTGTGCAATTTCAAATTGAATTTTATGCTTCGACAAACTCAAATTCTAACCCATAACTACTAGGATCAACTAACAAAATGATAGAAAAGGAAAGGTCTAGTAAGAAGGAAGATTGAAGAAGGGAGACGGAGGATAGGATCTTTTTCTTGCTTCTCTCTAAAGTTCTTAAAAACTTAAGTTATGAGCTTCCTTTTAAAAAATTTCCTTTTATACCTTTTCTAGGTTGGTTAATTCCACTTATCTTTGATCCAATCCTCCAAATATCAATGTGCCCTTAGGGTCTCCAAGCCACAAAACTCTTAGCAGCAATTGTCAACAGGGTTATGATATAACACTGTTACAAAAGCGACCAATTAGAGTAAGATATGAAGTCGAGAAGTATAAATGTTAACTAATTACTAAAAAGGTGTATGGTATCACGAGACTATTCTTATATGTGACTTGGTTAATGCATCTCAATGCCATGATAGACTCACACTCAAGCTATACAATCACTAATAACAGGTACTGGACTTTCCTAATGTAAGTGACAAAACCTAAGATATCATATTATGTTGAAAATGAATTGATATCCAACTTTTATTGTTGATCTAGTAAGCAAAATTGATTGTGTTGTTGTTGGTTCAGTAGGTTCAAGTCAATTAGACTGTTCACTTTTGTTATAAGAGATCTTTTAGTTTGAATGCATGACGATGCATTAATCTGCTATATTGTTAATAAATTATGTTAATAAGTTGTGTTGTAAGTTGAAATGTTGCTATGTTGTTAAGTTGTATAATTGTGTTGATATATTGACCTGTATTATGAAATTAAGCTTTAACTATTGTTGTTGATTTAAGTTGAAGTTGTTTTATAATTGACTATGTGCTTTTATATTATGTTATTTTTTTAATTATAAATTTATCATTGCTTTTTCATATTATTTGACTGGAATGATTATATTGTTATGAGGTAGAGTAAGATTAGGTTGGAAGGTTTGTTGAGAATTGATGGCTTATTCTTTTTTGTTGAGTTATTGTGATGTAGCGTGAACATAGTTGTTACTTAACTGACAAATTAGGACTAGAAATTTTATGTTTTACGGTCCAATATTTGTGTATATATGTATGTGTCTGTAAGATTTAAGATTCGGTTGTAATCTCGCTAAAAAATTTTACATTTTCATTTGTTTATACTTTACATACACATATATATATATATATATATTATATATATATATATATATATATATATTATTGCACGAATATCTAAAAATTGTTTGTATAATAATCTTATATTAGATTATATTTATGTTTTCTACTGCATTGAAGTTAAGTTATGATAAATGTAAAAATCTATTGAGTCGTTATAATTTCGTTAAAAAAATGAATAATTGATGGAAAAAAATCTATTAAATAGAGATATAATTAAAAAAAATATTTAGACTTTGAAATTTGAAAAAAAAAATGTTGAAAATGATAATAGATTTGAGATAAAGGAAAAATTAAACAAGTCAATAAAATATTAAATAAAATTTAAAATTTAATTACTTACTATGTTTTTTATATTTGAATATATATTAATAACATCACTTTAAGCAATGACAAAGGTTGACGAGAAAAATTAAGAGAGTAAAATAAAATTGATTAAAAATTATTTATAAATTAATTTTTATTACATCATAAATTTTCTCTAACTTATTTTTCTTTTTGTAAAATAGAAAAGTGAGAAAGAGTGATTCTTAAAATATTTTTTCGTACAATAATTTTCTATCAAGTTATTCGATATAACTCTTATTATATTAAAATCAAACTAAATAAATAAATAGGCTCGTAGAAATTTTATTTTAAAAAAAGCTACACATGTCACATTTATATAATAGTGCTAAAATTTAGGAAAAAAATAAAACATAAACACAAACATTGTTATCATAATTAAACAAATTATGTCGTCACATTGTTGCGCTAAAGAAATCTCTTGTTATTCAAAAAAAAAAAAAAAAAGCTAAGAAGGAAAAAATAACATAAAACCAAGTGAATAAAATAAATATAATAAATTGAATTTATCATTATCTCAAAATACACTAACAATAGAAAAGACATTTCGTAAATAAATAAATATTTTTAAAATAAGTGATAATTATTATTTTAAAAAAGTACCTATTATGTTGTATGTATATATTTTTTTTTCTATTTTACTCTCAGATATATATTAGCAAAAATAAAATAAAATATAAATATAAAAGTATAATTAATTTTAAAAAAGTAAACATAAAAGGAAAATATATCTTTTCTTTTATATATTGTTATAGATAATGTGTCATGTAAGATTTTTTTAAAAATATAATAAAATTTATTAAAGTTTGAAGAATTTTGTGATAAGTAAATTTTGAGATTGAAAATGAAAAAAAAAATGAGGTTTTTATTTTAGATGAAATTATTATTCTAATTAATGGCATCGTTGGAACAGAAAATTAAAAGCAATTCAGTTGACTTAATTGGTAAAAAAAAAAAAAGATTAGATTTAATTGATTTTAAAACAATAAATTTAAAGACCAAAATTAGCCTTAATGAAACAAAAAGTCAAAGCAGAGAAAAATTGTAATGAAAAAGGAAGCAGAAATGAAGAAGTTCCAAACGGTGAAACCTAACAACCGCAGCAAAGAGCATTTGAGAAGATCACAGATCACATACATAAACCATTCAGATAAGATCAATTTGCCCAATTCACACCCACATCACATCTTTCTCCACACGCAACTAGTATTTGAAGACGCAACAATCTTTCCCGTTTCACCGGAGAAGGGAATATGGAATCAAATTCAGGTGCCAACGACCGAATTGCCAGAATCGCCGGCCACCTCCGCCCTCAGGTTCGTTTCGTCTTTCTTACGTAAATTCGATTACTAAGAATAGCATCATTTGATTTTTGATGTGATTGGAACAGGCAGAGGGTGATGTTTGTCTGAGGCGTAGCCATTGCCGTGCCAAAGGTGGAGCCCCCGGATTCCACGTTGCAATATTGGGTGCCGCAGGAGGCATAGGACAACCTCTGGCGATGTTGATGAAGATGAACCCACTCGTTTCAGTTCTCCACCTCTATGATGTTGTCAACACCCCTGGGGTCACCGCTGATATAAGTCACATGGACTCTGGCGCTGTTGTAAGTTTTTAGAAAAGCAAGCAAAACCCAGATACATGTGCTGATTCCTTGTCCTTAATTTTATTCAAATTAATAACTTGCTCTATAAATTTTGATGGGTTGGTTGACTTGTGCCCTTATGAGCATATTTGGCTACATGCCAATAAGAGCCTATAAGAATTTTTAAGAGCTTATTTACCGAAAAATACTCTTAATTTTCAGTAGAAACGCTCACAGAAGTTCTTCTAGATTGTATCCAAACAGATTATATGTCATGTTTGGATAGACATCGCAAAAATTATTTATAGGAGAAGTTAAGAAAGTAAAATGATTTGAATAAACTTTTTCATAAGTACTAATGCGCCTCAGCTTAGCTTCTTTAAAACGAACTAATGCGCCCCAGCTTTTGGAGAACCTTCTATAAAAAGTTAAATGGAAAAGTTGATTTTAATTTATTGGGGAATCTTTAATTCTTAATTCATTTTATCTTTGTATTTTCGTCTTTTTTATATGCTTATGAAGAAGTTTACTCAAATAAGGCCTAAGCTTATTTATAATTAGAAATTAACTTGTGTATAAGCCAATTGATAAAAACTGTTTGTTTTTTCCAAAAACTTATCTGAAGTCATGCATAAGCTAAATTGAATTTGTGGGAGAAACTTGATTCGTTTTACCTTTTTATTTTCATATCTTATAAGTGTTTATTAAAAAGTTTATCTAGACAAGGTTAAATCATGCTATATTGTTCATTTTTGCTTGCATAGTCTGCTGGCATGACTAAAAGTTTCGGTGTCTAGGTTCAAGGGTTTTTAGGGCAGCAGCAGCTTGAGGATGCACTTATAGGCATGGACTTGGTTATCATCCCTGCTGGTGTTCCACGAAAACCTGGAATGACAAGAGATGATCTCTTCAATATAAATGCTGGAATTGTTAAAACGCTGTGTGAAGCAATTGCAAAGTGCTGTCCTAAGGCAATTGTGAACTTGATAAGCAATCCAGTTAACTCCACAGTCCCCATTGCAGCTGAAGTTTTCAAAAGAGCCGGTACTTATGATCCCAAGAAACTTTTGGGAGTCACAATGCTTGACGTTGTTAGAGCCAATACGTTTGTGGTATGTGCTACTGCTTTTGCAATTAGAACAGATCTTTTAAGTAGCTGGATATTTATGATGGTGAAGTGAATTTTAACTCTTCAACTGTGAGAAAATTTCCAGTGTGCAACATTTTCGTTGTTTCAACTTTCAAGCTTAGACCAGCTATGCTTACAAGTTATATGTATTGCTTAATTATAACAACTTGTGATGGTATAATAATTTAGGAATTGAATTTTTGAGTGAGCGGAGCTGATATGCTATTTGTTCTTAATATTTTGTATTGTTGATACTTGATAGTATATGCAAAAAGAAATAATTTCCTTTACACCCCAGTAATTAACATTTTTGGTTTAAAGTTAGTGCAATATTTTAAACGCTTATGCTGGCACTGTGATCCTGATATACCCCCCTACTACTGAGGTGTATACTACACATAGGTAAGGAAACCAAAAATGGGGAATATTTCATTCTAATAGTTATGGGAAATGAGAATATAATAGGAAAACGAAAGGAAGTGTAGAAGATTTGCAGGTCCCTTCTCCCTTGAAGAACCTGTGGCATTTTCTTTCTGTTTTACGGTATTAGAGAGAGATACAATCTGTAATCCTTCTTTTTGATAGTGATATCAGTTTTAGAAGATGGAATTCTGGTTTTGTTAATACAATATACTCATACCTGATTCTAGTTTCTATTACATCTATTTAACATTGCTTATTGAAGTTTGAGTACAACAAAGCTTCTGTGCTTGTCGCTCTCTCGTATTATTTGCTTGATCTTATTTATGGAGTTGCACTTCATTCATTTTTACCTGTTGGGCGTAAACTGCAGGCAGAAGTTTTAGGTGTAGATCCAAGGGATGTGGATGTCCCAGTTGTTGGGGGACATGCTGGAATCACAATTTTACCTCTTCTTTCTCAGGTCTTCTCATAACTACTTCTGATTCTTATTTGTTGCCATATTTGATGCTTAAACTACTTCTGGTTTTTACCTGACAATATCACCCAATTATCAGGTTAAACCTCCTTTCTCTTTCACCCCAAAAGAGATTGAGTACCTGAGTGATCGCATACAAAATGGTGGAACTGAAGTTGTTGAGGTGAACATTTACATATTTACCTTTATTTTTTAATTTCTGTTTACTTCAATTATTGCTCATCTTTCCTTTATCCATCGACTGTGGAGGTTTTGATGATCAACGAATTCCATATGTTGATTTATAATATCCGACTAAGATAGCAGAAACTGATCCTGTGGGCAACTCTCCACTGCCACCCAAGTGGGAGTTATGGAGGCTAATTGAATATGGGTTAGCTTTAATAAGATGATTCAAATTTCACGTGGGATGGGATCAAATGTAAAGACAATTTTCCCCATCCTTTACGTGTATACTTTCCCATTCTTTGCATTTATATTATTTGGTAGTCTGCAATTCCTCTAAATCCTTGGTTGATATATTGATCCAGTGGCTAGCCTGAGAAATTTTTTGTTGAAAGCTTTCCTGTATGCAGGGAAACTTACACTTGAGTAATTTAAGTTTGAAAGTAATTGCTAATCTGCCTTGGTGGATTTGTATCAGTTAGTGCCTAATGGCAGTACTTTTGTGTTATACATTATTCCTCCATTGCTAAGGATTATCTACTCATCAGAATTCTGATTAGTACAATATTGTAATTTTCTCTAGGCCAAAGCTGGAGCCGGTTCTGCAACACTCTCAATGGTTAGTATTTCTATGCTTACTTTTGTGCGTGTTTGAACGCATGTGGTTGTTCCCTTTTTTTTAAAAAAACATTTTTGTTTTGTAGCGTCTTTATAACATTCATGACATAACTATTTTGGTCCAAGTAAATGTGATGAACAACTTGTAATAAAGTGCAGGCATATGCTGCAGTTAAATTTGCAGATGCATGCCTTCATGCCCTGAGAGGAGATGCTGGCATCATTCAATGTGCATATGTTGCTTCGCAGGTATATACAAACCTGTTTTCGTTATACATATATATATATAAGAAAAGAAACCTGTTTTCTTTAAAGGGCATCTTAGGGTTGCTAACATACCATCCTTTTTCCGTCACATTTTAGGTGACTGAACTCCCATTCTTTGCATCAAAAGTACGACTTGGCCGAGGTGGGGTTGAGGAAATCCTTCCTCTTGGTCCCCTGAATGATTCTGAGAGGTATACAGTGTCACTTGTATTTTTACCTACGAAATTCCTTCACATAGGTGAAACTGAAACATTAGAATTTATTTACTTCTATTTTTATTTCAACAGGGAGGGTTTGGAAAAGGCCAAGAAAGAGTTATCAGCAAGCATTGAGAAGGGCATTTCTTTCATCAGAAAATGAATAGTTGATGATAGTACCTCCTGAAAATAAATGGTGCGGGTGCTGTGTCCATTGTGAGATCACAAATTTTGAATTAGTTATGTGATATGTATGAATCTGTTTCGAACTCTAATAAAAGGATAGTATTCTATATATCATCAAACCACAAATTGTGTCCTAGAAACATGTAATAATTGGAACACCGAATTCCAATTATTATTCCATTACAAGTGATTCCCACAGTTTGAATCTATTAAAAATAATCCAGAGATGTTTTCTGTATCTGTTGTGCTGACCAATATAAACCTGTCCAATAGAGCATGATATTTAAGTTTAGAATTAAAAAAGTTCAATTAACACTTCGTTTTCACCCGGTGAACCTAACCCGCTGAAAAACGGTTGGGTTTGGTTGGATAGACCTGCCAATTTATTAAAAATTTATAAATTATTTTTATTTATTTGTCTCAAGTTTTCTTTAAATTTTATTATAAAATATAACTAAAAAGAAAAAATTACAATAGTAAAGAATCAAATCATTTAAATGTTCAATTGAGCATGAATTTAATAAGTCTATCAACAACATTAAAATAAATTTATAATATAATTACAATTAAGTCTATTAATAACAATAAAATTAATAAATAATACAATTACAAATAAATCTTAATAAATAAATGAACTTAAAAATAAAATATCATAAATTATTTTTAACAAATAAAAGTCCTTTTGCTTTGCATTAATTAAGTTATTTATTTTAACTGATTTCTTGTAGTTCGAGTGTTTTGAGTCACTGACTCGTAACATGTCAGGAAATGAATAGGCCGTGTATATTAAGATTTGCCCCTTTCATAACAAAAGTCCAGACAAAATCCAAGTGAGCGGCCATTTAATGAAACTTAAAAACTGCCCACAGGTCCACAACTAGTAAAGTGGCCATGGGCCTTATGTCTCCATTATGATATATACACCTCCTTTTTTTAATAAGTAATTTCTTTTTTTTTTAAATTATAAAATATTGTAGTTTTTTTTTTAAAAATTTTCTAATTTTATATCTTTAACTTTTAATTTGCTACTTTCTTCTTCTTTTTCACACATTTTTTTTTCTCTTTTACTTTTCACATGTTACCAAAATAAGTGAGGTGAAGGAAAGATAAGAGAGTATTAAATTAAATGTTGTAGATATAAAATTAAAAAATTAAAAAATACAAAATAAAAAAATTAAGAATATTTTAAAATTTTAATTTTTTTTCTTAAAAAGAGGTGTACTTATTAAAAAAAAATGTATATATCATGAACCTTATGCTTATGCTGGCTGACTAAGAAGACCACAACAATGTTGGGCCATAATAAAGGGCTTCACACTATTATTTATGAATTTTATGAATTAAAAGAATGGTAAAAATTAGTAGACATGTGATATATTTTTTTTTTACAAAGTTTAGGTTAGCGCAATATTTAATTATTATGATTTAATATTTATTTAAATTTATTATTATAAAATTCAACCTTTTTGATAAAGTTCTGCGTGATAAAGTCACCAATATCTTGTAACTGAAAGAAGAAAAAATATGAAAAAATTACTTGGTATAAGGATCATTAAAAAAAATATGGAACTAAATGTAATTATATGAGTTAATCATTTATACATTGCTAGTGTAAAGTTTTTTTACATTAATAACCAATTATATTTTTTAATTGTGTCATATCATTATAAACACATTTACTTTTAACAATAATATGACACAATTAAAAGATATAATTAATTGCTAGTGTAAAAAAAATTTTATACTGACAATATATAAGTGATTAACTCATTATATATTCGCATGGATGCTAAATTTGATATAATTTTTTCTCCAAACATTTTTGCTAGTTTATTTTCAACAGTGAATCTAGCCATTCATGGTTAACAATATAACTCAACAAAATACCACCTCCTTGCACGACCACACCAATAAACTAATATTTTCCACCAACGTTTATTATTTTCCTTAGATCCGATACGTACAAATCACCACACTCTGACACCAATCTCTTTGAATCAAGATTCATAGTTATCTTCCGTCATATCTAAATCTGATGGGGTTCATCTTTCTTAAGACAATAACACGATCTCATTATTTATTTACTTTACAAATACACTAAACATGTTTCTTATTTATTGGATACCAATATGCAATTTGTATATAAAATGGCAAATGAACATGCAATTTGAGTTTTTTTATTGTCCAACATCCCAATTCCCAACCATTCAATAAATGTATTTGTATTTGTATTTGGCACTCCACTTTTTGTCCTTGTGTGCTTTATGAGCTGCCAGAAAACTGTAGGGAACTGGAAAGTGGAAACTCAGAGTCAGAGTGAACTTCCGTTCAGCCCAAATTGCTTAAATTGGTGGATTCATATATGCAGGAGGAGGCCAAATCCAGACATCAAAGTCTGCACCATTTTTTTTTATATAATTCTTTTGTTTAGATGTTGAAAGTAAATTTTTTAAAATAGGTAGAAAAAGTGAGAAATAATATGTTTTAATTTAATTACTTGAAATTGAAATTAAACTATATAATATGATCCATAATTAACTTTTTCATATTTTTAAATATATTATTAAATAAGTGACTAAATTAATAAAATTATTAGTTTTACTTAATTTTTCTCTCTGCTTATTTTCAACCCAGTCACATAAATAGAATGAACCAAAGCAGTTCAGATACCAATATGATAGAGGAGTTTGCATTTTCAACTCTTTTCACTGTGAATCTGTGATTAATATATAAATAATTTTACAAGTGAGTAATTTTAAATTATTTTGTATTTATAAAATAAATTTTAGTTAAGATTTAAGGTAAATTAATTTATATTTTAAATAATTTCAATAAATATAATAGAGTTTAGTTTTTTTTAAAACATAACATAAGAATTATATATTTTATTTTAATTACTTAAAAAAATATTTCTGATTTTTAGAAGTTGCAAACAAATACAATAAATGTAATAATAAGAAGAAAAAAAAGGTACTAGCACACTGATGAGATGAATATTTGTACTTTGAATGATAAAATATATTTATCTTATAGCACGTAAGAGACATTTATATGTTGCAGTATATCTGAGTTCTGAGACATCTACTAATACTTGGGGAGAAGGAAATGTGAAGAGATCTCATGAACATTATAATAACTGGTTTGGTCTCTGCAATAATAAATGAAGTCAAAGAAGAGTAATGAAATGAAATGGAACCACAATAAAGGGCAGATCTTGTGGGCAACCACACAAAACAAATAATGAATCACTCCAGCTACTATCTGGACTTGTCATACATGTCGTGCTATATCAGCTGCTTCCATTGCCAATACTTACCCATTTTCCTTCCTATCATAAATGGGAACTTTTTTCATTTATTTATTTTAACACCCCAAAAAAGGACTTGTAGAAACATATACAATATGTGTGTGTTTCATGTTCTTTATTTATACTTCGGTTAATCTTCTTTTGAATGTTGCTTTGATGTTGGAGACATAAATTTTTAGTGGATTTTGAAGGATTTAATGGGGTGTGAGATTAGGATTTGAAAATAAGGGAAATTATTAATTTGTGAGTTTTTATTCTATCTAAATTATGAGTATCTACGAAACACACTGCAACATTGACATGTGGATACAACACTCACATGAATATTTAGACACGACTAAAGTCGAAAATACACAAATAATATATATAGATATAGATATAGATAGATACACACTTATCAGTTAACGTCTTTATCTTGTATTGGTTGTAAGTTAATGTTTATCAATTATTTTAAATTAGGACTTTGCCCCTTAAAGAGTATAATTGTGAAAAAATCCAAATGCAAGGTGCTAAAAAAGAATCTTAGGAGGGAGAGCTTGGGCAATTACTGAAAACAAAGAATTGCAAAAGAGAAAAAGCAAAAGAGGACACAAAATTGCCGATTCACCATGTTTTCTCATATTCTACGCATGTTGTCTTGTCTTTCAATCTACAAATCACAAAAGTAATTCTGGACAGAATATACAGAAGTAGTACTGTAGCAGAAGATACAATTGGAAAGAAAACAAACATAAAATAGGGTGAAGTTGAATGAAAAAGAATGGATGGACACTTCAATGCTAATCTATGTATAAAGAAAAAATAAACAAATAAAAAAGATCTCAAATGTAAATATGATAAATAATATAATATAGAAGTGTTCGTATATTATTGAAATATAATTGATAGTATTATATGTTTATATGAAAAATAAAGTTGTGGGCCAATAGAGCAAGTAGCGACGGCCCACACTCCATTTCCTTTTGAGTTTTGCAGATTTTCCGGTAAAGTTGTTTGTCGTTTTGGGACTTATTAGCCTCTCCTGTCTTTCGATTTTCATCTTTTTTCCTTCATTCTTTCAATTTCGTTACCAAATAATTTGAACTTCAAAGCCGCATTGAGGGGCTTTTCTTTTTTGTGTTCTAACGTATTGGATTTATCTTGCACCTGGTATTACAGACTCAAAAAAAAAAAAATGATGCACAGATTTTGTCCGATGTTTAATTATGGTGTCTCCATTGTGGAGACCTTATTTGGTTGAATTCCATGTTCCAATATTCAATTGCCCTATCATAGAGCAAGAATGAGTTATGAGTTATGAGTTCAAGTTATTTTATGAGTTTTTTTTTCTCTCCCATTAATTACAATTTATCGACCGGCTAGTTTGAGTTTCCCGGTGTTATAATATGGTTGATGGGAAAAAGCAAAAGAAAAAAAATTGGATTATTAGTTGAGATGTATTATCTAAGGAGCTTTTGTAAAAAATAATTTTTTTATAATTAACTTAATTTTTTTATTTAAAATAGTTCGTTATTTTTTCAATTAATAACTCATATCACACACAATATCTATTTTTATCAATGCTCATAACTAAGTACTAAAATATGTTATTTCACAAAATTGTGTTTCTGAGAGTTCAAGGAGACTTAATAATAGGGTATAAAATTCTTATTCTAAGATAAAAACAGACATAATACACTTTTGAATATTCTGGCTTTGAACAAACAACTACATTATTTCTAGTGTATTTTCTAAACGAATATTTTAGTGTCTATCGTGAGACCCAGTAAAACTTACCATGACACACAAATCAAGAACTTTCATTCTTTCTCTGAGCTATATGACGATTCTCTCTCCATTTTTATTCTTTTATTAGAATATTTTTGTGTTTCGTCGTCTTCTCCAATGAGATTCTATCATTTTTATATTTTTGTTTTTCCTAATTTTGACAC